AATATAATGCTTATATATCTCAACCGTACAATTGTGCATTACTGAATCCGAGTAGTAGTAATACTAGTATCAACGGGTGGAGGCTGGCACCCCACCTCCCTCAGCGTCATTTTTTATTTCATACTACAGTCACTGCAAGGGGACTGTCGGTAAGACAGAAAATTGTAAATGAGTGTAAGATCTTGTGAGATCAAAATATAATATTTTACTTGATCTTCCTTTGACCCATTTAAAAGTTGTTTATGTTTCTTAAAAAAAAAAAGGGGTGGGGGATACATGTGGATTAAGCCTCCAGTGAATCTGAATCCCCTCCCACCATGGACCAGGGATGGGAATGGCCTTGCTATCGTGCAAGGTGCCCGGGAAGGTGGAAGGTGGCAGATGTAGATAAGCTAAAAACCAACATCGTATCATTGGAGCTCCCTTTAGACCCATTGTAAAGTTGCTTCAGTTTTTAATATTTGCTGCACATTTTTGGATGGAGGTTTATCTGTTTTGTTTTGGGTAAGTGTGGTATTAAGTGTAGGGGTAGAGTTTAGCCTGTCCATCAGCTCACAGCTGGATGGCTTCAATATGGAGGCGTGAAGGAGATAAATAGTTCACTGGAAGCCAGATACACTCTCTCTGCTCCACATTCCTGTTGACAAGCCACATGGAGCTACACTGATGGAGTCAGAGTCCTGGGGCTGGAGGAGCCTTGTGGGGAGACCCACACCAGCGCTGAGATGCTTCCACCTCTGTAGTATTAAGTAGGGGGGCAGCCCCCCAGCGCTACTACCCACGGGTTCAGTAAGCACAATTGTACGGTTGATTTTATATATATATATATATATATATTAAAGTCATCGAGAACATGAGAGATATTACAATAATGCAGTCAGACACATTACATGGTAGCATTGCTCACCTCAGCCCAGCTTGGTGGCCCACGTGGAGAGAGGGGGAAGGGAAGGAAGATGGGAAAGGGAACAAGGGAGAGGGGACAGGAGAGGAGAGAGGGAAGAGAGACCAGTGAAGAGAGACCAGCCCAACAAGAGCGATCTCTATTGCTGACCCACACTTGTATACCTTTTGGGCGTGCAAGCCCACCAATTACAGGTAAAGACATATATCACAGGAAGGGGTTGCACTATAGGTTATCCAGCAATGAGAGGGGGTGGTCTAGGGACATACACGCAATAGGAAGAGGAAGGATTGGGGGTATACATGTGACAAGATGGGCAGATCCTAGAATTAGGATGGCAGCTTAACTTTGGATGTCACAGAGCCAGTTTGACTTGTTCCTGGCTCAACTGATAGAGACTGTTATCCGTAGGGTGTGAAC